TTAACCCTTTAAGCCCCACAGGAAACTGATGAAACACAAGCCCCTATTCCCGGAACCCAACCGGCATTGCAGGACTTAAATGACTGATTTTTACCATGCTTAGAATTTTGTCTTATATCTTAAAAACTACAAGGCAAAAGACAAAACACTTAAGACAAAAAATGTTCAGCAACAATTTATCTTTAATTCTAGACTTAACCTACAGCAAACGGTTAATCATGAAGTGAACTGAAGCAAGAGAAACATTGCACAAGTCTGAAAAATGTCATTGTTTACACTGAAATACAATGTTACCTTGCAAAAAAATGGCAAAAAAAAACGCTCAAATACTAGCTAAATCCTACTAAATGCGAAAGCATCAATAAATATGTCTATGTACAATAAAATAGATTTCAAGTAATGCCTCAAGTTCTGGTTATTGCGAAGTAAACGAAGCAAATGTTCAATAGGTGAAATTTGAATTTCGCGCGCTTGTGGCGCTTAGCTTAGGTCACCGATGTGATTCGGGAAGCATTCCAAGCAAATCCGCTTGTTGCAGTGCTGGCAACCCATTCTGCAAAACGTTGTCCTCTTTCGTTTGAGGCATCGTTTGCATCGTCCTTTATCAAAAGCAATCGGCCAATGTCCAGCCTCCGTCTGCCCAGAACTTGCTGTTCTTCCACGGCTCGTGAAATCCCCGATAAGGTCCTTCGCAAGTTCGACTCTAAATGTTAGTTGTGTTCTTGAACGATGATTTACGGCCTTTTTCTCCAAGATAAACGCATTGACAATACTTAGATCGACACAAAACCAAAAAAGATAGCGCCACCATTTCCTTGATTTAGTTCCGATAGCGTAATACCCACGCAACTGATCGTGAAGGTCTACGCCTCCCATGCTCTTGTTGTAACTCTTCACAACGGGAACAGTCGGCACTTGAATAACAGTTCCATCGCGCTGCTTACGGTTTACAGTCTCGTTTCCTACTGGATTACTTTCAGTACTGATAAAGTGAACAACCTTTTTGTCCTTCCAGGTTGTTGCAACGACATTGTTCTTTCGCCTAAACAGCGCCTCTCCTTGCTTCAATCGCTTGATGCGAGGATTGTTTGCCGCGAGATCCTTAGGAAAGTCTTTCCTGTTCGCTCTTGCCGTTGCACATGAATAAATTTGATCCTCCAACAGATCTTCGGCAAGCTTAACAGTTGAGAAAAAATTGTCATAGAAGACATGATGATTTTTCCCAGTAAAGCTCCGAGTTAAATCGTGAACAACACGATAACCCAAGTTTTGTTCGGCGGCGCCATCTTGTCTTTTTCCCGTGTAAACTTGGAAGTCGCAGACAAAGCCACTAGACGCTTCGGCGCAAACCCACACTTTAATTCCACGCTTAACAGGCTTCATCGGCATATATTGTCTCATTCCAAGCCGTCCCTTAAACTTTACCATCGCTTCGTCGACGGATAAATCTTTTTGCGGTCTCAGTTCCATTTTACAACATTGAACGACGCGATCAAGAACAGGGCGAACTTTGAACAATTTGTCATGTCCAGGATCTTCACGAGGAGCTTGATTTGCATTATTATTTAAATGAAAATACTTGGACAATTTGTCAAAGCGATTTCTCGACATCACTTTTTTAACGAAAGGGACGCCAATGAGTGGATCCTCACTCCAGTAAAGGCGAGTTGCAGGCAACCTTTTGATGCCAAACAGCACGTGAAGACCGATAAAGGCTTTCATTTCATCAAGCGTTGTCTCATACCATTCACGGTCGGGCTTCGTAGCGATACATTCCCGTGCATGGCGGTTCGTTTCAGCGACGATTTGCTCTATAAGTTCTTCTGGAAACATCAAATAGAAGAAATCGATTGCAGTTCCATCTTCTGCAACTCCAGAAGTTGGGCCAGTAGCCTCAGTGAATGGGGAGACCTCAACAGGGTTTGAGTTTTCGTTCCACGTTTCTTCTTCGGCTTCTTCCTCTTCAAAGTCTGAAAGGTCTTCGGTAGAAACAGAAGAGACTGAAATATCTGACTCCGAGTCACTCTGATTTCTAGCTTCAAATCTTTCTTGTCTCCAAGCAGCAACAGTTTCTCTTTCTTCTTCGTCAAATCCCAAGAACACGTCCTCTTCAACTTCGCTTTCGCTAGCGGCCGCCATCAAACTTCAGTTGCGATTTTCATCGTGATGCTCAGTGAAAGCTTGTCACGTTTGACACGTCAAATGAAAGCTAAAACTCTTTTCTATTGGTTGAAAAACAATGGAGCAGCCTAGCAACAATATAACAGGTCTTTTGATTGGTCAGAATGAAGGCAGGTCTCAGAGTGCCAAATGGCACTCTCGGGAATAAGATGCAGTCACGCAAGAGTGCCATATGGCACTATCGGGGCTTAAAGGGTTAAACATTTACAATGCAGTATTGGATGATGTCCCTGAAAGAGTCCGTGGAAAAGTGATATGTCCATGGATACAGTTGAAAGGACAGATTATTGATGGTAGATGTTCTTTGACTACAGGGCTAAAATTCAGCCTGCTTCATGCACTATTGTTTTCATTCTACAGACTGGCACAAGATCAGATTTTTTCCAACAAAATCTTCTCTTGGGAAGAAAATTTCCCCTTATATGGATGCCAACATCACTAGAAGTGGTAGCCAGGAGAGAAAACTTTCCTCAGTGGACATCTGAGCCACAAAAATAATATTATGTGATTGTAGAAGGAAACCAATGCTTGATGTGAAGTTTGTATTGGGATGAAATATATGTTTTTTTAATATTATGTTCTACAGTCTGTAATTCTTAGGGGTGTATGATATACACTGTTCTTGTATAATAAATACTGAACAAAATTGAACATGATAAAAGTTTTGTAGGTGAGGGTAGGTACAAGTTCATTTACTCTTTTCCAATTTAAGTACATGTGCATGTAGTGAGTTCAGCCTACTCTCGGGTGGGCATTTTCCTTTGACTTTTCCTGTTTGCCTTTTCTAGTATTAATTTCTCTTAAATTTTGACAATAAATAAATCAAGTTAGATTTGGACTTGGGTATCACAGTATTATGGAATGGTTATAGTTTATGATGGCAACAAATACAGTAATGCTTTGACAAGTTGCTTCTGATTTTTCCCCGTTGGAAACTGTAAAGTTATGAAACATGCTATTCCATACTTGTGTATATATTGAGAACATTAATCATGTTTGACCATTTGTGAGCTTGGGAGTGCCATGCTACCCTGACTGTTTTTGTTGTAACTGTAGCATGCCTATTTATCACATTTTCTGTGTTTAGAAATGGTGGAGAGCAAAAGATAAATAAACAACAAAAAAAAATACTTAAGGTGAATCCAAAAGGAGATTTAAAATGTTCTCTTGTTCAGGCAAAGAATGGTCTTTGACAGCACAATGTTGGACTGGACTGAGAAGCTCAAAAATTAGGTTCTCACTTGAGTATTTTCAAGCTAAATGCTCTCCTGCTACAATGTGTGTGTGTGTGTGTACACGTGATGTACATATATTTCATGTTACGAATTCAGTATCTACATGTAACTTAATGTACCTTGCTACTGGCATGACCTTATCCATTGGGTTGTTTTATCTTTCAATTTGTTTTGAGTTACATTAATTGTTTTAAAATTAGGTATGCTTTTGTTGTTTCCCTTGTCTTGAGACTATATATTCTCACTGGAGGAATGGTTCTGGTAACATTAGAATCAAGTTCTGTTAAAAATTTTAAGGCAATGCACTTATTACATGTACATGTACACCTGTATGTGTACTGTCACGGTGCGATTGTGGCCCTGTTTATACAGTGCACTTGTATAGAAGCAAGGGACACAACTAATGGAGTGTCTGCACTATTAAGTGGGTTCACATGTCAATTTAATGATGCCTGACTATGTGCAGCTGAGCATTATTGTCAACCTACAGTGTAGGCTTACATTATGTCACAATATGTGTGTACAGTCTTCATGCACTCCACTTCTTATTGCTTTTGGAGAAATTTTATGATCTAAAAGTGTATAATAAATTTATCCTTTCTTGTAGGTATAACTTTGTTGATCGATAACTGGTTATTATTGGCTAGACGTTACTTTGTGCCTTGGCAATTTACGTTATTTCTTGGATGTAGAATCTTGGAGCTTATACAGAGTGTCCAATGATGGAATCATTTTCCGCTGAACAACTGAACTTTTTCAAATTTAGTACTATGGTGCTGTGTGAGTTTCCAGTCATCCTACGGCGAGTCTTTGTCTCCATGTGGGATAACATGGTTGCTTGTACACCTGGCTGCCACAATTGGGATGACTCTACAACAGTGAGAAACATGTTTCTTGCCAAGGAGGGTGGTAAGATAGATTATGTACCTACTGGTAAATCATATTTGGAATGGGACTGTACTGCTCTGTTTCAGGCCACCCTATTTTCACAAACCTTTGCTTTGCCAGATGGGTGTGGAAAGCGACGTATGTTATACCAATTATATGTGAAACCTCTTCCGATTGGGGCATTTCATGACTGTGTTTTGAGCCCCACTGGCAATACAGCTGAGACATGTGCTTTAGCATTGGATCAGCTTCGCTTGCTACGAAACATGCTTTGCCACGCAAGTAGTATGCAAAAGATTGACAAGACAACCTTTGATCGTTATTTAATGTTGGCAAGAGATGCCTTTACTGCCCTTGAACAAAGTAGTGGTGGGATTGATACCATTGAGGAGCTGACTGAAGACAATTTTCCTAATGCTAAAATTCAACAGCTGAAACATGGGCTAGAGAGAGAAAACAGTATTGTTGTGGAGTTTAAGCAGGTCAACAATCACCTAAATGCAATCAAATCTCAAGATGGAAATCAAGTTAAAAGTGATAAATGGCAATGTTCCCATTTGACTTTTTATCTTAGAAATGCTATTAATGGAATAGCAAGTATGAAAAAGGATGAGCAAAGTGATAAAAGAAAGAAAGATCTTAAGTCACTTCTTAATTGTTTGCAAGAAGAACTCAAAATGGATGTTCTGGAAAATTCAAATGCTGAAAGACAAAGTGTGGCGTGCATCATTTGTAAAGAGTGGATTTTTAGCAGAGATGTATTTTTTCTTTTGACTGATAAAGACGTGAACTCTGATTGTGTAGATGCTGCATTAGGATCAGGCAATAGTAGAGATCCTGACGTGTTCTTGTTTTCACCAGCAAGCGACCCAAAAAAGAAGTCTCCTTTTATTGTGCTTTGGAAAACTCCCAATGTTTTGGAAATGAAAGAGTTGAGTCATGTGGGTTCTACCTTGCATGAAAGTATTCACCTGCTATTTTTGCAACCACAGTTTCAAAAAAATTGTGTAGTGGGTCAGGATTTCTATATGGAAGTGACATTACCAACCTGTGCTACCTCGTCCCTGTGCACCCAGATTGACTACCTACCTTTTGTTGTTGAGTTGGAACTGTCAGAATCAAACAAAGACTGCAGTAACATTGACTCTATTGTTAATTCACCCTCAATTCATGTTTCATACTTTTCATATAGATTTTCCAATCAGCGCCATGCAGAGTTTGTCTTTGATAAGCTGATTAGTAGTTTAGGTAAGCTATTGATCGTAACAGAAGTGCAATATGCTGTAATTTCTCCTTTACACAACGCAGCCATTTTCTTTTTTCTAGAGGCTAAATTTAGCAATTCATCTTTATCTGTTGTTGTTGAGAAAGATTCAGTCATAGTGAAATGCCGCTCCATATGTGAATTTCAATCACCCTGCATCTGTTTGACAGTAAGAAATACCCTAGAGAGTAAGGTGGAATCTTTGAGTCATGAGTTCAGGATAAGCTTGAAGTCAATTCATCTGCAGTTACACTGTGAAGAAGCCGGTGTAAGTCATAACTGCAAACATGCCACTAGAGAAACACCCTGCTCGGGCCTTGCATCAGAAACTGGCAACGCATGTGCATGTGCTTGCAGAAGTGATCCTGAGTATGTTCTGGAAGGAGAGCAAGTTATATCTTTGCCTCAAAATAAGGTAAAGTTTACTTTGTAAGTAGTGGTTAATTAATTTATTAACCAGTGGCTACCTTTCATGGGCCCCAGCATGTTCTGCAGGGGATTCAAACCCTAACATTTTTTACCACTAGATTAAATTGCTTGTCCTATACAGGGCAGAGAAAAAAAAAATTGAAATCCACTTGTCCAGTGGGCTAGTAAATTTCAGTTTTCACTTGCCAAAACTAAAATGCTGCTTGCCGACGTGACAGCCAGTATGGCAATTTGAGGACAAACACAAACAAAGTATGCTTGTATTCTTAACTAATCCATGTGTTCAACTCAGTGGTTAACTAATCTTGCAGTTGTAAGTTTTGAAATAGCTTCTGACTGGAAATTATCATTTATCTAGCCTGCATAGCTTGGTGGTTTTTATGCAATTTGGGCATGCTAAGAAAGCAGGGAAGCTGCAAGGAGCCCGGGAGAGAGACAACTAAGAAACCACCTGCACGGATGACCGGCAATTTTTGTTAGTCCAGAACACTGGCGTACTGGCCATTGCTACTGGATCAGAAGGCAAACACATCAATCAAAATTTTCACTAATCTCCCAAGGGACAGCTCCAAGGAACAGCACTGATTACAATGCAGATCTTTGGCGTGTAAACAGAAAATAATTGAGAAAGCGTTGACCAAAGCGTTATCGCGCCTGAATATTCTTTGCGAATATCGCAAAATTGTTAACTGCCAGACACGAGCAAGAAACAGCTGTAAACAGTTTGTCTCATGGGAGAGATGTGATGGCCGTTTTCCCAACAGCTTTGGCCAAAGCATGATTTTTGCCGTGTTTCACTGTTTGCGTTCACCAGACAAGATTTGTGGTCTACGAGAACCAGTATCGTTATTTCGCTGTTAAAGACCCTCATCGATGACCAAATTTCAAAAATATTATTGCTGAACTTCACAGCACTGGAATTGTCGTCTGATGTTTTATGTCCTTTTGTTGTTTGAGGACTTCGATCGTGGCTTGCTTCACTTTCTGCAGGCTTGAATTGATGAAATTATGAAGTTCAAAAGCGTTTCTTATTTTACATACACAGGCATAGCACACACGATCAGATGATGTGTCTGATCTTTCTATTTCTAGAACAATTTCAGATTTCTGACAAAGTGCCATTTTGAAATCCTTCACACTTA